TCAGATTGCAGGCAAGCCGCAGATGCAAAACTCAAAGGATATGGTTTTTTTTGGCAGGGGGAGAGTCTTTTTGAGACAGGGCCTCCCTGTAACCCCAGCTGGCCCGGAACTCACTATGTAGACCAAGCTGGGCTTGAACTCAAAAGAGATCCACCTGTCTCTGCCTCCCAAGTGCTGGGATTAGAGCCTTCAGAGGATATATTTTATAACTCACGTAATATACTGATATGTGGTCATATGTTTTTCTTCATATTTTTATTCTTGAGTGGACTCTTACAAAAGCATTCCACTCTTACTGTAGTTGTACTGTAACTGCTTTGAGAATACAAAGGAGCAGTGTACCTCTTTCCTCCTTCAAACCACTGAGAATAAAACACTTTACAAGATTCTAAACATGAAGATGAATTTGTGGTGTATTTAGCCTCTCAACTTACTTGTATTCTCTTCTAAATGTCAACACTGAAACTTTGGGGAATGGTAGAGCACTTACCCAGCATGATTGAGGCCCTGGGTTTGATCTTCAGCACTGGAAAAAGGATGGAGCTTTGTTAAGGTTGGCAGATATATCCTTATGTGGATGTGGTGTTTTAGGTACATTTGCTACATCTTGTGCAATGTCTACTAGGAAATAGCACCAACTTCCAACAGCGAAAAAAGAAACAAAATACCCATACTCCTTATATTAGCCAGCTTTTCATTACTTTAACAAAATACTTAAGACACTATCTTCATAAAAAGTTTATTGAGCTCACCATTTTGGAGGTTCAAAGGCATGACACCTGCATCAGCTCAGTCTGGCAAAAGTTAGATCATGGTGGAGGCACAGGTGTTTGAAAGAGCCTATATCACCAAGCAGGTTGGAAAGAGAGAGTGAGGCCCCACAATCACTTCTGAAGTTATACTCCAAATGACCTAAAGACCTTCCACCAGACCTGCCTCCCAAAGGTTCTAGCACATCCCAACACTGTCTCCCTGAGGACCAAGCCCTCAGTCATAGACCTTCTAGACCATAACGAAACAAATAATCTACATTCAAACCATAGCACCCTTTAATTTATCTTTACCGTAGCCCATACTGACAAGCTTGTAGCAAATGGATTATCAAGTACATCTCTAGCCATTTGGGGAAGGTGTTCTTAGTTGAGAGAGCCTTCATCGTTACACTCTAACTCAGAAAAAGTTAACTTTCTCCCATACTGTCTACATAAGTGTATGTGTGTTTCTTTTACCATCTTAGGTATATAGTTCAGTGTCATCAAGTACATTCATTTTTGTCATGAAACCATCATCACCTTCAATCTCCAGAGTTCATCTTATGAACTCTCTGTAGCCACTGAACAGTAATTCTCATTCTCTCCCAACTCCAAGTTCTTGAAAAACCCGAATCTATTTCTGTTTCTATGAATTTGATGAATCTATGTGCTTCATATAAATACTTTTTCTTCTGTGACCAGTTTATTTCACTTAACACGTCTTGAAGGTTCTTCCAGGCTGTAGAATGTGTTGAATTTCCATTCTTGTTAAGGCTGAGTCATTCAGTTGTATCCATTACCACACTTTATCTGTCCATCTTTAGTGGACTCCTGGATTACTTCCACCTTTTACATATGAAGAACCCACTTCCGTGAACATGGATCTACATGTCTATCACTTCTGCCATACTTACTTTTTTCCTTTTTTCCAGAGAGCATTGGTCACTGTCTGCAGTATTGTTTACCATGATTCTCTCCCAACTAGAATCAAATGTCTTGAGGTTAAGAATCGCATTAGTAGCCAGGCATGGTGGTGCAGGCCTTTAATCCAAGCACTTGGGAGGCAGAGGCAGGCTGATCTCTGTGAGTTCAAGGCCAAAAAAAAAAAAAAAAGAATCACATTAGCTTTGTGTCATTGTGACAAAACACCCAAGAAAGACAAGTCAGAGGATGAAACTTTGTTTTGGCTCATGATTTCGGAAGTTTCAGTCCATGATTGTACGTCTCCATTACTTTTAGGCTTGTGATGAGGTACAACATCATGGCAGAAGGAAGTGGAAGAAAGTTGCTCACCTTATGGCAACCAGAAAGCAGAGAGTAGGAGGAGGGTGTTGAATGGGGGAGGGGTTGTCCCAATAGCCCCTTCAAGGGAAAATCCCAGTGATTAATACTTCCAATCAGGCCCCACCTCTGGAAGTTTCCATGCAATCAGTTGGTAGGCAAGTCTCCAGCATATAGCCTTTGAAAATTATTTGAGATCTAAATCATAACAGTTTTTGTGTGTTTTCCACAGTTGTGTCCTCAAAGTTCAGATTAGAGTCTGGCATATGGAAACACTTAATAAATAGTTTGCTAAATGACTGGTTAAATAAGCTGAGAGTCTTATCTCAACCAGAGTTTCTGTACTGAGTTCTATTCTGTTGCTGACCTTCTTGCTAGGTGGAGAAGGGCTTTGGAACAAGGTATTCAGTTAGTATCTTAGTTCCCTTATCTGTAAAATGAGTATCAGTCTTTTTGTTTTTTAAATTATTTGACAAAAAGTATACAAATATGTACAATGTCTTTTTGGTTGTATGCCTGAGCCTTTAATGGCTGTGTTAGCTCTCTAGCCTACAAATATGAACAACATACAATGAATGTGATGTTTCAATATAATTAATGTCTGTATTGTAAAATGGTTAAATCAAGCTAGCAACATATATTATCTCTTCACATCCTTTGTTTTGTGGTAAGGCCATTTAAGATCTATTTTTTTAAACAATTTCCAAGTATTCATTATTATTGATTATAATCACTATGATGTGCTTCTGTGATCTCCAGAACTTATTCATCTTAACCGAAACTTCAAATTCTTTGATCAACATCTTTCCAACTTCTCCTTCTGTCCCAGATAATCACCATTTTATTATTTACTTCTGTCAGTTCAGCTTTTTTAGAATACATAGAATGAATTCACACAATATTTTTAAAATTGAATTTTTGTGATTTTCATACAATATAGCTTGATGGTATTTAGATCCCCTCCTCTTGGCATCTTCTCTCACTGCCCCCCCCCCAAATTAATGCATATATATATATTATGGCCTATAGAGTCTTTTTTTTTTTTTTTTTGAACAAGGGTTTCTTTTAAGTCCCAGCGGGCCTGAACCTTGCTATGTAGACTAGACTGGCCTTGAACTCACAGAGATCCACCTGCCTCTGCCTCCTGAGTGCTGGGATTAAAGACATACACCTCTGTGCCTGGCAGCCTAGGGTCTTATTTATGTCCCTACGTTCTTCAATGGGGTCTACTCACTGGACCCACCAAGAGTCCCATCTCTGAAAGACACTGTCTTTCCCCCTCCCAGAAACTATCAGTTGCCAAAAATTCCTTAGGTTGGATTGGGATTTCTTATCCACTTCCTCATGTCTATACTGATATTTGCATAGGACTTGGAGTTCACACAGTATTTACCTTTCTATGTCTGGCTTATTATTTTTCTAATACTTTCTAACTATTGAACTTTTGTGATTTTCATACAGTATAGTTTGATGGTATTTAGATCCCCTCTCCTGTCTGCAGTCCTCTTTATTGCTCCCACCCAATTTAATGTACTCTATTATATATAATAAGGCCTATAGAGTCTAATTTGTGTCCCCAAATATCTTTCAGTGTGGGTCTATTCACTGGATCCTGGTTAACCTACCCGGAGTCCCATACGTGAAAGAAATTGTCTCTGTCCCTCCCAGCAGCCAGCAGATGTTGCCACATTTCCTTAGGTGGGGTTGGCACTTCTTACCCCTTTCTTTATGTCTATGCTGAGATATTTTTCTCATTTGAGCTTGCATGGTACTTGTACACGCTGTAACCATTGCTGTGAGTTCATACCAGTAACTGACAAGCTGTCAGAAAAACTCTGCTTGTTATTATCCATCCACCTCTGGCTCTTACCATCTTTGCGCCCCCTCTTCCACAATGATCACCAAACCTTGGGAAGCAGACGTTTGATATAGGTGTCCTATTCAGGGACAAGCACTCTGCAGCTTCTTGTTCTCTGCATGTTGGCCAGTTGTGGGTTTCTATGTTAATCATCATCTGTTGCATAAGGAAACATCTCTGGTAAGAGTTCAGAGATGTATTAATCTATGGGTATAACAATAAATCATTAAGAGTTAGTATAATATGATAACTATAGCAAAAAACTAGTATTAGGTTCTCCCCTATGCCCTGTGACATAGCCTCAGATACCTAAGCCTGATATCAATGTCAGCTATGGCCTCTATCCTAGGCAGCAGATTTTAAATTCAATTAAAGAATGGTTGGTTCCTCCCATAATATTTGTACCACTATTGTAACACTGGGTATATCTTGCTAGGTCAGTAATTGTAGCTCACAGGATTCACAGCTGGGTAAGGTTGATGATTATTTTTTTTTCTCCAGGTAGTGTGCATAGCACCTTCCAGCACAGGTGAGATGAGGCTCTGAAGTCAGCGCCAGCTTGATTTCTCCTTGTTTGTTCTACAGCTCACTTATGTAGTGTATTCAGCAATAGGGTCTCACCATCCAGTTCTGGTGGATAACCAAGAGCAGTGTGCCTGGCTTATTTAATTAAACAGAATGTTCTTCAGTTAAATCTATGTTGCCATAAATGACAGGATTTCTTTCTTTTTAAAGCCTGAATAACACATCTTTTCATACCTTTTCCCCCAGTCAGTGGAAGGTGGACTTCATTAGAGGCCCTGGATTATTTGCTTAGCAGTCAGTCGTTGGCTGTACTTGATCTTGGGGTGGAAGTTGTTGGTGTGATCACATGTCTGACAGCTGACAGCAAGGTGGGTGCAGCTGTGCTTAGCACTTGTGGCAAACCATCTTGTCCTAGTTGTTCTTCTGACAGGCTGGTAAAGGGATGGTTTGCTGATGCTTCCATGCAGGTGCAACACCAGGTGCAGGATGGACTGTTTCTGGATGTTGCAGTCCAACAGCATGCAGCCATCCTCCAGCTGCTTGCCAGGGAATATCGGCAGTGACTGGTTGGGTGGAATGCCTTTCTAGCCTTGGATCTTGGCCTTGGCTTTCTCAGTGGTGTTGCTGGGCTCAACTTTGAGTGTGATGGTCTTGCCCAGCAGGGCTTCACAAAGATCTGCATCTTGGCATCCAGTCAGCTGCCTGGTTGAAGAGAAAGAGTTTACTTTTCTCTTCGCAGTGACAAAATACCCTGACAATAAACAACTTAAGGAAGTAAAGGTTTATTTTGGCTCATGTTAGGAAAGTCAAGGTGGCAGGAATTTGGGGCAGGTAGTCACACTGCATCCAGAAGCAAGAAGAATGAGTGCTAGGACTCAGTTCCTTTTCTCCCTTGTATTCAGTCTAGGACTCAACCCCCTGGACTGATGCCACTCACAGTGAGCAGGTCTTCCCACCTCAATTAACCCAATCTAGATGATTCCTCTTAGGCATCTCCAGAAACTAACCTAGTCTAAATAATCTTTCACAGGTGTGCCTGGAAACTTGTCCCCAAGGTGATTCAATATTAGCCATCATGCACATTGATTTCATTTCCTTTGGGTGTACAGTCATGCACGATTTAACGATACCATGCCCTGAGAAATGCATTGTCCAGGTGATTTTGCTATTGTGTGAACATCATAGAGTGTACGCACACAAAGTAAAATAGCTAGGACATCACTAGACCACATAATCTCCCGGGGCAACAACTGTGTATGCAGTTGTTGTTGACTGGAATGCTGTTGTGTGGCTCATGACTGCTTATCCAGCCATGAGGTTTCGGGATTATATAGCAGTTCTATTTTTAGTGTTTGGAGGAACTTCTGTATTGTTTTCCACAAAGGCTGTACTGATTTACATTCTGCACAAGTGTATGAGGATTCCCCTTTTCCCCAGTGTTTGCTAACGGTTATCTTTCATCAGTTTGATATTCATCCTAATAAGTGTGATGTGATACCTCATAGTTTTGATTTGCATTTACCTGCTAATTAGTGATGCTGAGCACCTTTGCATACAACTATTAACCCTTTATATGTCTTCAGAGAAGTGTCTGCTCACATCCTTTGTCCATATTTTAATTGGGTATTTTTTCTTTCTATTTGAGCTCTTTACATATTTTCTGTATTAATCCCTTACCAGATGCATGCTTTACATGCATTCTGGGAGTAGCCTTTGAGGATTTTGTGTTTGCATGTGTGGTATGTTGTAAATGTACATGTGCATGTGGGTGCACCTGCATGTGTGTGAATGTACATGTAAAGATCAGAGATTGAAGTTGTGTATTTTTCCTCATTATCTCTCCACAGATTTTTCTTTTTGAGACAGGGTCTCTCACTGAACCTGAAATGTGTCAATGTGTCTAGAACAGCTGGTCCTTGATGTTCATCTACCTGTCTCCATCCACCCAGTGTTGGGGTTACAGATGCTCAGCTTTTGACATGGGTGCTGGGGCTCTGAACTTGGGTCCTCATGCTTGAACAGCAAATACTTTACTGACTCTGCCAGCTCTGTAGCTCCCCTTTGAGGATTTTCTGTCTAGTTTACTTGTGCTAAAGAGCGACAGCTTCATTTCTTGGGGGTACAATATTTTAAATTAAAAAATGAACAATTCCTGAATATTTGATGACAAAGATGTTTTCTTAAATTATTATCTTAAACAAGACTGAGTAAAACTATAATTATCCAAACTTGAGCTATGTACACAGATTTAAGCAATATTTTGTATATAAACAACCAGTAAAATTCACATAAATTTTTCACAAAACCATGAGTAATTTTTTTCAACTTGAGTATTATTTTATGCATTTTATGAGCTCATTATAATGGATCAGTTTTGGAAAACTGACTCAGTGGAGTATAGCTTGTTCCCTCTGTTCATTGTTAGTAGACTGAACTTGTCTCCTGAGATAGCAGGCTTATCAGAACCAGAGACACTTCTCAAAACCTTAAGCAAAGCATGGGGGGAGAAAAGGGAATGGATTTTCTTGCAGGAAATTTTGCTTTTCTAACTTGATTAAAAGATTGAGAACTAAAATATCTGTTTGGTTCCCAACTGCTTCCACTAATCACCTTGTACTCACATTCTGAGTATATCAGAGAACTCACTTCTTCACATGTTTCTTCTTATAAACATGGCTATAAGCTGGTATTAATGAAAATCATAAGTGAAGACTATATACTATTATTTAAAAATATTCTATTTATTATTTTTATTTTAAATATATGACTGTATTGCCTCCATGTGTATAAGTGCACCCATGTTGCGCAGTGCCTGCAGAGGTCAGAAGAGGGTGTAGGATCCCCTGGAACTGGAGTTAAGACAGTTGTTAGCCACCATGTGGGTGCTGGGAACCAAACCCAGGTCCTTACCAAGAGTAGCCAGTGCTCTTAACTACAAGTCATCCCTCTAGTCCCTTATATATTACTATTTATGAAATACAGTGTACCATTAGTGATTTGATGATCCGTATGTTGGAAAAGAAAAGTACTGCCTCTCTGAGCACCAGCCCACTCTGGTCTCTTCATGCTTCTGCCCCTCAAAGTGGCTCTCTTGCAGAGCCTGGAAAATGCTCTTCTCCTTAACCAATGAAGCCCCAAGGTTTAGCTACAGGGAATCTCTTAGACTCCCTTATAAACATTCTCTCCACTGAACTCTGCTTGACTTAGTTTAATTTAAGTGTATCCTCTGCTGGGTTGGTGTTTGACTTATAAAGCTTAAAACTGCTGTAATTAGAAAAGATTTTATAAAAGACTGGGATTATAGAAGCCGGGCATAGTGGCACATGCCTTTAATCCCAGCACTTGGGAGGCAGAGGCAGGATGATCTCTGTGAGTTCAAGGCCAGCCTTGTCTGCATAGTGAGTTCCATACCAGCTGGGGCTACAGGGAGACCATAAAAAGAAAGGAAGGAAGGAAGGAAGGAAGGAAGGAAGGAAGGAAGGAAGGAAGGAGAGAAGGAAGGAAAAGAAAGAAGGAAAGAAAGAAAAAAATTAATTCTGGGGGCTGGGGGTATGGCTTAATGTGCCTACCACCAATCCTGATGACCTGAGTTTGATCTCCAGACCCAAATGACAGAGAGAACGGATTCCCAATCTGCACTTGTACACTGTGCACTGTGTCACGTGTTCACCCCTCCAAAGATACAATTTTTGTTGCTGTTAGAACAACTCAGGAAAATAAAATTTTTGTTTATTGTTGGACATTATTTCACACATACATCAAACAGGCCAAAAATTAAAATAAATAAACAGCAACTTCATAGGCAAAAAAGGAAAAATTATAAACCTTTGATCTTTGGCCTTTTTAACCATCTTGTACAAACCAACTACGATGGGTACAGTGTACAGTTAGGGACATACACAAAACAAGTTACTGGAATGCTTGGAATAAGATTGGTTTTGTTGTTGTTTCTGCTTTTTTTTTTAACAATTTTTTTTCTCCTTTGAGATTATGGTGAACATGGTGACACAACAAGGAAAATCAGAAGTTGGACAGAGAACCCTCTGAAGGCTGGTTTGGTCACCCCTTATGCTGACCCCTAACAATATGTAAAAAAAAATAAAATGTCAATAGAAAATATCATCAAATTTTCCTTCTAAAGTACTTTTAAGGAAAAAAAAAGCAGCATCAGGCGTGGTGGTGGCAGCACACGCCTTTGATCCCAGCACTTGGGAGGCAGCGGCAGGTGGATCTCTGTGAGTTCAAGGCCAGCCTGGTCTACAAAGCGAGTTCCAGGTCAGCTGGGGCTTAAAAAAAAAAAAAGCAGGGCCTTGGAAGTTTTGGTTCTTTTTTCCTTCCCTCTTGCAAATTCACATTGTGGTTTTGGTGGAGTGGTAAAGAATGCACGTCATCTGCAGGTGGCACTGCCGGCTGTGGGTGGGCAGACCTGCCTCTCAAAGATGACACCTGTAGATTCTGAGACCAGAGTGGAGAGGGACTACCTCTCGGTGGCCTTTTAAGTTTGTCTTTACCTTTTTTGCTGTCTAGTCTTCTTCAGCAGCCTTCTGCTTCTTAGTACCAACATGGTCATCCTCATCTTCAGCTACTTACTTGCCTGTAACTGCCTCGGTCTCCCCATCTTCATCTCCGGCCTCTTCACCATCACCTCCCTCCTCCTGTCCCATCCCATTTTTCTTCCTCTTCATCTGCCTCATTGTCAGCCGCTTGCTCCCCATTTTCTTCACTAGTACTCCATTGGCAAGTGCATCTCTTCCATTCACTGCCTCCCCCACAACTTCCCCTCCTTCAAGTTCTTGGTGTTCATACTGAGAGGCAGTCACTGTAGCAACCAGACTGAGGGTACAAGACAGGAGGGCAAGGAAGTCAGTGGGCCATTCCAAGCTGCCAAGGTTGTCCATCCTGGAGAAGGATGAACAGGGGAGTTTAAAAGACATTTAAGAGGAAGAAATGGACACAAGCTGGCAATTGGATATGCATGGAGGATGAAGACAAAACAATGCAAAGTGTTTCCCCTAGAATATCTTTCTGGTTAAGGGAGGAAGGCTGGCCTCAGAAATATATACAAGGTGTTTTCAGAAGAGATTAAAGAATAAATATTCACTATCACTAATGCTGATGGCACCGCCCAACCTGTTGAGGGTTCATTTAGATGGGGGGAGGGAAGGATATTCATTCTCTCTACTTGAGGTGGGACGTCTACTCTTTTGCTGCCTTTGCACATTGGAACTACATGTTCTCAGGCTTTCAGACTCACTTATGAACTTACATTATAGCATTCTCCCCTTTCCCCAGTTCCTAGGTGCTTGGAGTCAGGCTGGAGTCCACCGCTGGTTTTCCTGGTTCTCCATCTTGTATATGGCAGTTCATGGGCTTCTCAGCTTCCATAACTGTGTTAGCCAGTGCCGATAAGAAATCTTGTGTCTACCTCTGTATACTCTGTTGGCTCTTTTTCTCTGAAGAACCCCAATGTACGTGTTTCAGTGTGACTCATGGTCTGCTGTCTGCCATAGCATGATGTAGATTAGGGGTGCTGTCTTAGCTGAGGTCTAGAGTGTGAAGATGGCAGACCATATCTATCACCAACCCACAGCCTGGGAGCAGAGATACAGCTAGGTGAATTCTGCAGCTGACCCACATGTGAGTGTAAGCAAGGAAAGAGATTGTCTTCTTTCATAAGCGAGAGGGTTTGAGGGAGTCATTTGTTACTGAAGCAAACCTATGTACATACATAAGTTAATAAATGTCTTTATACTGACATCATTAACAAAATACTCTTTAATATGGGCCACTAAACCAAATACCATTTGAAGAAATGGAAAATTTAAGCTAAGTGGGGTTACATGCCTTTAATCTCAGCACTCAGGAGGCAGGGGTAGGTAGGATCTCTGTGAGATGGAGGCCAGCCTGGTCTCCATAGTGAGTTCCAGGCCAGCTGGAGCTACAGGGAGAGTCTGTCCAAAAAAAAAATGTTATTGAAAAGTGAAAAATATTTTCTTTGGGATTGGAGAGATGGCTCAGTGGTTAAGAGCAGTGACTGCTCCTGCAGAAGACTTGGTTTGATTCCCAGCATCCACATGACTGCTAACAACTGTCTGTAACTGCAATTCCAGGGGAATCCAACTCCCTCTTCTGACCTCCATGGGCATTGCATGACACAGGTGCACATACACACATGTAGGCAATACATCCATACATATAAAATATAAAAACAATAAATAAAATATTAAAAATATTTTCTTTAACTGCTGCTAAAGCCTCCAATTAAGCAAATAAGTAAGCATACACATGCCATGAGCCATATTATTTCCAAATTTTCACTATATTTCTGTAAAAAATATTTTTCTCATACAGCAGTCACACCACACACAGACATGTAGCTTGCTCTGACAAATGAAATGTGAATGGAGTTGATGCATAATACTTCAAAATAGAATCTTTAGTGATGGGAATTTGGTCAGAAAATGGAAGTGTGGTACTATAGCCAGGGACCAGAAATATCTAACAACATGGACTCTTCTCTGTCGACCTTTTTAAGAAGCACGTCACCAGAAGAGGTCTTTGGGTTGGCCATTCAGAAGCCTTATAGACGTACTTCCTTTACGACGTTCTTGCCTCAGTTGTGCACCTCCAGAAACTTCCCGTCCTTGTTGAGACAGGTTGATTCAACCTATGGGGAAAATGGTCCTTACTAATACAGTTCACAGGGGGACAGGGATAAATAAGATCATCACTTTAATTTGTGAGATACAATCTTCTTCCTTGTGCTGAGAATTTCCTTTCCAGCTCCTCTCTGGTAGAGACAACATATGTTCCTCTCAAACAAGATCTCAGAAGCTCATGGTAAAATCTCTGGGTAACTGTGGAAAGATAAGGAAACAGCATCTCAGCCTTCCAAAGCTGGGACACCAAGAGTGGTTAATGGAAATGGCTCAGCTATGTGTCTCAAAGCCATCAATCTTGCTGTTGCACAGAACCAAATCCACTCACAAGTCTACCTCTTAGAACCCCCTTTTCTCTGTGTTCTGCTGTCAAACATTCCTACTCCTCACTGACACTTTTCTGTCATGTGTTTATTGCATGAATCTATTTGCAGTCATCTGTTTATTTCTTTTTCTAGTTCCTGGCAGATCTTTTGATTCTCAGTGTTAAGACACACTGGAAAATGGGTGTTTGTAGGGTCCAAATCTGGGCTCTGCCACTTGTAAGCTGTTCGTTTCTTAGCTATTCTGAGCTTTATATTTTGAACTGTGAAAACCAGAGATATTTATATATACCTCTTAGAGTTATTAGAAGAAAAAAATCCAATTTTAACTTAGGTAGCATAGAAGTAGCATAGAAAAAGAGCATAGGATTTTCTTACTTTCTATTTTTATTCAACCTTTGTTTGGTCTTTTTTGAGACAGGGTCTCCCTGAGGCTCCAGCTGACCTGGAACTTACTATGTAGACCAGGTTGGCCTTGAACTCACAGAGATCCATCTGCCTTGGTCTCCTGAGTGCTGGGATTAAAGGTGTGTGCCACCACACCCAGCCTATTTATATTAAACCTTAATAGCTATCTTTTGTTGATGATAACAGTAACAAAAATGCTTAATGAGCCCCATTATGTCCACAGCACTGGGCTAGAAAGTGTCTGCTATTGCCATTCTCTGTCGAGCCCCAAATTAACAAATCGTGCTTTTTTCCCCCTTTCTTCTTTCTACTGTTCCATATACACCTTAGTTTTATATCGAAGGTAGAGATTTTCTGTAGCTGACATAGCTCTTGGTGTGGATAGAATCTTCATGTCTTTGCCTCATCTTGTAATTGCAAATCCTCTTATCTACACAACGAGATACTTTCTCACTATGGACTGGAATCTTCCTGGAGTTCAGTGTGGGACAAAACCAAACTGCAGGAGCTGGACAGATGGCTCATCAGCTAAGAGCACTTGTTGCTCTGGCAGAGGACCTAGGTTCAGTTCCCAGCAGCTAACAACCATCTCTTATTCCAGTTCTAGGCGCTCTGAAACTTTCTTCTGACCTCCTCAGACACTGCATGCACAGGTACACTTACATACATGCAGGTAAAACACTCATACACATAAAATTTTTAAAAAATAAAACAACAAGCTGCAGGAATAGAATCTTCATTGCTCACACATCTCTATGATTTCATATCACAAAAGGGGCAGCTACACAAGTGTGTGATCTGAACCTGTGAGCCCAACACTGAACTCTAGCTCAATGGAATGCTGGAAGGGACATGAGTTATGTGTCTTTTGTTACCTCTTTTCCAGTGTCAGACTAAGACACTGATCCTGAGGCCCTGAACGACTGGAGGTGGGGAATGGGGTGAGTCTTCAACAGAAATTTCAAAAACATTCTGCTTTTTTTTTTGTGAGGTTCAAGAGCAAATGTCCCAAGATAATTCTGTAGCCTGTTTTTACAAGGAGCTATAATGATTTAATTTTTATCAACTTCTAATAAAGAAGACTTAAATGAGCTGTTTTTAGTTTTATTTTTTAAAGTTGAAAACAAAAGACAAGTTTAAAACATAGGTTCAGAAAGTCAAGTCAGCAAAGCCCATGCCTTTTAATTTATTATACTGACCTGGAACCAGGTTGGCCTTAAACTCACAGAGATCCACCCCCCTCTGCCTCCCAAGTGCTGGGATTAAAGGTGTGTGCCCAGCTAATCTATTATTTTTTTTAAAGACAGGTTCCCACTATGAGAGCCCAGGCTGGCCTGGAACTTGCTATGTAGGCCAGGTTGGTCTTGAACTCACAGAAATATTCCTGTTTCTGCCTTCCAAATACTGGGCCACCGCACCCAGCTCCATTATTTCTAATCTTTTTCTTTGTTTTACTTTGGTTTAGTAGTGAATTAAAAAGTTAATTATTTATGGTAACATTTTGTTACCATAAATAAGTAACATTGCAAACAGAGGGTACTTTGTGAAGTTTGTTGCAGGGGTGTGGGTAAATTGTCCCTTCCTACATTGCCATTTGGCTTCTTGACTGCTGTGGCTTTGACACAATACACAAGGACTCCAGTGATAGGAGCATTGGAAGGAGGTGGGGGTCTGGCTGAACTGTTTCTATAAGTTGCCTTCACTTTCTTCTTTGGCCCTCACCTCCTCAGGTAGGAGAGCTGTATCTCTCTATTCTAGCCTGCTTGTGAACTCTAACCCAAGCACAGACTGAACAATCTTTCTTACTCTCCTGAGTATTTGTTGCATTTTTCTCATTTAAAGATAGTCAGTTGTGCATCTCTGTGGTTTGGGACCCTAATAAAGCAGACAAGGTTCTTTCCTTCAAGGAGTGGTCACTACAGTGGGAGCTATCACCTGGAGCATAGGCAAGAATAGCTGTGACTCACAGTAAGGGGCCAGTCAGTGATCCCTTTTCCCCGGTGGTGGTGATACCCATCTGAAATCTCAGCACTTGGGAAGCTAAAGCTGGAGGATCCTGAGTTTGAGGGCAGCCTGGGTGTGGAGAGCCACAGCCTCCGCCGCCATTACAAGATGGCGCCGGTATCCGGACCTTCTTAAAAGTAAACATCCTGCCACACCCATAAGGGGCGTGCACAAGAGCCTGCT